CAATACCACAGAAGATAGACTCAGATTTAATGTGCCATAAGACAGACAAGTGATATGGGGAGTTAGACATAGTCCTGCAGGTAACAAATTTCAGGCAGACCTAAACAGCTGCTCAGCACCTTCCAAAAACAGATGGCTCATGTCAAATGATGGCCATAGCACGGGCATAAGGGCGGCACGCAAAGCTGCCAGTCTCATTGTGCCAGATACTCTGCCTATCCCCCGAGATAAAGCCTGCATCACAAGGTGCTGCTGAAAGACCAGACCTCTGAATTGGCTCAGCTCCAAACTGGGTGGGGAGATCTGGCCCCAGGTGTTTAAGTTTCCCCTGCAGTCTTTAGCCCAAATAATAAGTTGGCCCTTATCAAAGCCCCTTGCTCATTTCTGCATGAGAGAGTGGTATTGGTAAATTCCTGACAGAACACTAACAGACCACACCACAAGATGCCCATGGGATGTATATCACATTTCAGCTATGCAGATTGATGGCTTTGAGAGGGATCTAAGAAGTTAAGAGGAATTTGGCATTTGTGCTTATCACTGTTAGTTTCTCTCTGTTTTTTTTCTTTTTCAGTAGTCAGACAAACTATTATGATCCGTGAGAAGAACATGCAAGTCATCCTCCTGTATGATTATTTTGCAAGCAATGATCATCGAAACAAGGCTAGAAAAATTACAGGCATCATAACAAATTAAACTCAGAACTGCATTTCCAACTGTCTGGAACAGCTTCTTTGTTTTACACAACAGCTCCATTAATGTTTCAGAGCCTATGATTATTTGAGCTCTCAACAACGTCCTGCTACTCATTATTTCTCTCCAGGAATGAACCACCATGATCTTGAGAGCTTTGAGGTTTTAGCAAAAAGGCAAGTCATGTCAAAAGCTTCATGAAACTGTGTTTTGCAAGTGATTCCTCTCCTGTCAATTCTAAAATAAAAATATTTTCCTAGTCTCTGTTTATTCATTATTGTTACTTATCTTATTACAATAGGACATAGCTTTGTTGGTTTAGACCAGTAGTTTACACCCAGTACTCTGCACTTCCCAAAGGTCCATGAACTGTTTCTAAGGGATGCAAAAATGGCATATAAAGGTGACTGTTTGTTGCACAGGGGAACCACCTGAATCACTGGAGTAACGACAAGATGGCGATGGGAACTTTAGCCAGCAAGTGAAGAAGAGATCTGGGATCCCAGGGCTTGTACTTATGTTGAAGTGTCTTAGCATCTTCTCAGGCTCTCTGTGCAAACTAGATCAAAGCAAGCCCCAGCTTGCTGATCCCTCTTGCAATCAAACCTTGCTTTTCCCTATAGACATTCCCTAAAAGACCATCTCTGTCCTGAAGAATCTCAACAGATGAACAAGACAGAAGGAATGCCAATTATACACACGGGAAATGTGGGAAATACACACAGAGGAATGACCCAGGTCAAGCAAGCAATGACCAAGGTTTTTCAAAACCCAGATGAATGCATGGGTCTCAAGACTGTTCATCTAAGGAGCAGAGGACTAATGCCCTGGGAAGCCATTTTATCAGTCCCCCTGCTCTGAGACAAGGAAGCTTGCAGCCTCTGCGCCGACTACTACAAAGCAGTGGTATGAGTAAGTTCCACAGGTGCCTGCCCGGATGCTCTCTGAATACCAAATCCCACTGTAGAAAATAGGCTTGCACGAGCATAGCAATTCATGAAAGGCAGGCCACGTGTTTATTGTCTCATTCAAAAAATCCTGGTTTGAACATGGCATTCTTGTTGGACTGCAGTGGTGGCCCAGATGAGGTCAGGGCCTCAAAGCATTAAGCAGTGCTCAGACATTGAACAAGTAGCTCCAGGACCAGGCATGAACGGCCTAAACGGGGAAGATGACAAAGTTTAAGATGGGAAATAGAAGCACAGTTAATTCTCCAAGGCTGGACAGCTGGGAAGTAGCAGAGCTTGCCTCAGATCTGCTGAGTTGCAGACCTGTTGAATAGGTCACACTGCCTCCAGAGGCCTAACTGTAAAGAGCTGCTTAAACTAAGATAGACAGCCTTCCTGGTGCCTCTAGAGATGATCTTAACCCTGAATTATGAGGCAGCATGGCCCAGAGGCAATAAAGCAAGGCCATGATAGATGCCTATAGAATACTCTAGACAGGACAGACACAAAGAGATTTGATTACCCTTATCTTTGCCTGCAGAACAATATATTGCAATTTAATGTGGAATAATTACGTTCCTTTTTTTATCCTCTGGACACTTAAGACCTCAGAAAAATAAGAAATAGCTTGTCCATCTTGCTTTGTTAATTATTTCAGTGGAGATTAATACAAGATCTTTCTACACAGTGGTAGAAAGGATGATTGTGTTTTAAACCCACTGTGGATCCAGTCACTGGCTAAAATACTTCCACCTATCTCCATTGCTTCCAGCTGATCGGCACCCATTCCCATCAGCTCACGACATGTTCCTCTGGTTGCTGAAACAGAGCATGGACCCTCCTGTATGTTGACTGTTACATGAACTGATAAAAATCGCAACTATTGTCAGCCTCAAGCTAAAGAAAAAGCAGTAACATTTCTAGCCTATTGTGAAATAATTTATGCAAGTTGTAAATTCAAGATCCTATAAATTAGCATGTTTTTCCTTTCCGTGATAATTTAGACTCCTATCACATGGAAATAGTGTACAGTCTATCCAGGGAGAACTTATTTCAGATGTGTTATTAAATGCTTAAGACAGAGGTTTGAAAATAATGGGCCAAATTCAGTTGCAAAACCTCAGAAGCCTTTTGACTCCTATCTCAAATTATTTTAATGCACTGTTTCCTTTAATGCCACTTCCTGCAACATTATTTTTCTTCACCTTTTTTTTTTAATACCTTGAGCTTTGATTATCATCATAAACGCATTTCTACTAACAACACTGAAGTAAAGCCAGTTTTACCTGCTGAGGATCTAACCATTGATTCAAGCTGTCGATGCAGTCAGCTGGAAAACCATCAAAGCTAAAACGCTCCTGCAATAAAGTGCCAATCCATAGCAAGACATTTAAAATAAAAGACTGCACTTACCCAAATGCGCACAACCCCTCACAACACAATCCATTGGCATCGGTGTTATGTAAAGGTAATGAGAAACAACTCAAATGTTTTGCGCTATCCCATTATTTCATACCCTCAGTTAACATTAATATGACAATCTTTAAAAACAGAACCAAAAAGCACACTTTTTAAAAAAAGCGATTCGTATTTTGTGTGGACTTCTGATTTTTCACCATATTGTGCTTACGGTTTATTGCACTGGTACCCTTCAATCACAAAATAATTCATCTTTTCAGAATTAACATATCACCTGTTTATACTTATGTCCTGCAGGACATCACTGCATCAAATTGTCCGAAATTAGTTCTGAAAATGTCCTGAATTGCAAAACCTTTGACTCACAAAGCTGAAAAGGTGTGTACCCTTTGATCCCGAGATGCACTTTGGTTAGTCCAACAAGACTAATTAATCACAGAAAGTTAATCATGGCAAGTAGGCACTTCAACATGGTCAAATGAAACCATAGGCACTTGTAGTGGCAAACTTTTGTTTGGGTTTGGCAAATCAGGTTTGAAGCAGCATGGAGCATATCCCACTCCTAATTAAAGGTTGGTGCGTAGCACTGCTGAAAATCAGGGCCTACCTTCGTGATCTCACCGTAACCGGCAGTTGTTCGCACATGTAAATATGGCTGGATGGAGCCCTTAGGTTACTGTAGTAGGAAAAAGCAAAGTAGGGTCTGATTTGGGGAGGAGGAGCCCCCAGTAATACTCCTAGTAGTATTTCCCATTTCTCAAAGCAGGAGAAAGTGGCGAACGAGCCCATATTATGAATTCCAGGCAGACTTCTGCCCTGTATATACAAATCCATACCACTAGTAAAAATCAGGAGGCGCATCCCAGAAACAGTTTCCAGAAGGACGGACTGCTCTGTAAACCCGCTGGGGGGGCTGCTCCCAGAGGAGGCGCATCCCAGAAACAGTTTCCAGAAGGACGGACTGCTCTGTAAACCCGCTGGGGGGGCTACTCACAGAAACTCATTCCCAGTATGCTAAAAGTTTATCAGTTTGCTGGTCGATGCTTCATTCATTTCCGCTGTTCCAGCCTATGCATAGGAGCCAGCATTGTCAGAGAAATGCGCAGCGTATTTTATGGCTCAGATCTGAATAAAGCTTGCTTAAATCTATTTATCGAGAAAAACAAATGTGCATGGTCAGCTAGACCTATGGGTTGAATGGGTTTTGCCTCAGGAAGAGGATAGGCTTTATTACACCCTGACACACACAGAGAGCGAGAAAATAGCTTCAGGAGTCTTAAAAGACTGGGAGGAGTTCGGTGGGTTTCTAAGAGAACACCACATTCCTGTGAAAGTCCCAGATCTTCCCGAGGCAAAAATTCCCACTGTAGCCAAAGGCCTTGATCAAATTTGGTATTGAAATACAGCTCCCAGGGGTCACTGGTCTGTCCTCCCCTGGGAGGAGGGGGTAGGAGTTTCCCCTGGCAGAAGCCTGCAGGGATTTGATCCCTGTAGGTGGAGGTTCTTTGATGCTCTTTTGCTAACAATTGCGTTTCTGTTCCCATGAGCTGCATTCACTAGCTGGGTGGGGCATTTTGCTACCGTTGTGCTGGGGGGAATCGCCTAAGAAACACAAAAGTCGGTCTCTATCACCAAATAGGAAGGCAAGGTGGGGAAAGGGAGTGTGTTTGTGGGTGTGGGGGCTCCTTTCTTCTTCTGCCCTCCTCCCTGTGCACATACACACACACCTGCAGAGAGCACACGGATAACATTAGAGGTCTGGCAAGAAGGCTCTAGGAGAGGTGCTGCTTCTTAGAGGAAGACAACGACTGCCACATACATGCAAGTGACATAAAAGCAAGAGACTGCAGGGTGGAAAGGATACATCCCTTCTGCAGCCTATCGCCTGTTCAGATTGCATCTCTCACACGCACACACACACACACACATATATGTACCCACCTTGTCATTCAGGTTCTGCAGCGCCTCCTTCCCAGTGGCACTCCTGATCTCCACCTTTCTCCCGAAATCAACAGATGGTTCCCCTCCCTTCCCGCTCTGCCTGGAATAGACGGACTGAGCATCCGGACCCAGGTGGGCAACGTCCTTCTGCTTTGCCACGACTTTGTTAGATCCGCGGCCCACCGAGAGGGAGTCGAAGTCGATGGTCTTGTTCTCCAGAGAGCCTTCCACCGGGCAGAACATGCCACAGAATTTCTGCCGGGGCTTGGGACTGCCTGAGCCCAGGTTTTTGAAGAAGGCCGGCACTTCTTCTTCCTCGCCCTGCCGGCCAGACTGCTTCCTCTCAGCCATGGCTTGGGTGGTCTCCCTGCTAAGGGAAAATAATAACAGCGGTAACCAGGAGGATCCTTCACACACACGCACACACACGAAAAGAGGAGAAGGGGGGGAAAAAAGGGGGGGGGAGAGAGAGAGCTCTGGGTCCTAGAGATACGGCAACATCAACTGCAAAGGGCTGTGCCTGGCAGATCCCCTGCCCCCATCAGTACAATATAGCCTGTGGCTCGCTCTGTTTTCTTTGATGCAGTGCAAAGTTGAGGGAAGGTTGGGGCAGATCCTGCTGCAATCAAGGGAGGAGGTTTCAAGTTCCCAGCATCCAGATGGGGAGGGAGGGAAAAGGAGAGAGAGGAAAAAAAAAAAAACCCTCACTCTGCAGCAGAAACTGAGGACTGATCCGGAAGTGATGCGACCGGTGAATTGGCAAATGGACTCGATCAGGTTGGAGCAACAGCCCCCATCGCACACACCCTTTCCCCCCTCCCCTTCCCCGGCCTGCTGCCATTGCTACGAGTTGCACAGAGGCTGATGGGGACTGGGCACCCCACTCACCTCCGGCTGCTCTGGAGGCGTGTTCCCAAGGCAGGGGAGAAAGGATTTTCCTTCCTCCCACCACCCTTCCCCTTCCTCCCCTAGCCCCGAAATGGTGGAGTCAGGGAGTGCTCCGGGAATCCTATTGTTCCTCACTTTTCTCAAAGCAGCGGAGTCGGAGGGCGGGGAGCAGATGAGATCGCGGTTGGGTTAGTGGGAGGCAAAATGCTGACTCATCTTTCTGGGTTTTGGGGCATCGCTGGTGCCGCGACTCGGGTAGACCCTCCGCAGGGGGGAAAAGGGTTGATTGATGGCACTGGAGAGAGAATGGGAAGGAGAGACAGATGGGAGAGGGGTGTGAGAACCGAGGGAGAGAGGAAAATGAGCCGTTAACCAGGACTTACCTCCAGGAGCCGAAATTAGTGACCTTGCTAGTCAATTAAGCCTCTGCAATGCCAGCAGCCCCCAGTCCCTCCCTGCGGGGGATCAGGGGAGGCAGCCAAAGGCGGCTCCGGCTGAATGCAGGTTTTTAGAGGAGGAGGCAGAGCGGCAGCCCCTTGCCTCCCCGCTCTCGCCCATGCTGACAGCGTCCCTGCGCTGGGAGACGGAGGCAAGGCGGCAGAGAGCGAGAAGGCGAGGGGCAGAGGGGCCGGGGAGCAGGGGCCGG